TTTTTTTTTTTTTTTACTATCCTTCATCTTGCTTGGCCCAGGGGAGCCATCTCCAAGCCAGATAGAAAAGAAGGTAGGAGGGAGGGAGGTGATTTGGGGCCCAGCCTGGTCACTCCTGACCCTGGGAAGGTACCTGCCACGAACGGATCTTCACAGGGTTTCCCAGTGTCCCGATTAGTGTGGGCTCAGAAGTGTGTGGGACCTTGTGAATTGTGAGCTGTTTGACCCACTGTTCATACAGCGTTGTGCGGTACTGGCCCTAGGAAATGCCAGATTTAAGATCACCACACCAGAGACTCCAACACCCATTCCACCTCCTATTCAACCCCAGCTTAGTTGTTGCACACAGAAGTCAAAGCTCAGACGTGAAGCTAAAACCTGCCTTTTGCACCTACTTGCTTGGATTCACAAACCTCAGCCTCTTATCTGTGAAAAGGCAGCACTAACATCTTCCCATAAGAATGGAATGTGAGGATTAGATGGGGCATAGGATGAAGCATTTAGAAGGGTGTCTGAAACACACAAATATACATGTGAGGCTCTCCTATGTTCTCACTAGAAAGGCAGCTCCCAAGAGCAGCTCTTTTGGCTGCTCTGGTGCCTTCTTGCCCTTTATTTACAGCCTGTAGGCTGCCCTCATGGAGGTGAGGCTGGACAGAAGTGGAGCTGGGAATCCTTACCGTGAAGGGACCCAGGTAGGCCACAAAGCCAGAGGCCACCAGCACATCACCAGAGATGTTGTTGAGCATGTGGTCCAGGTTCTCTACTGTGTCTTGCCAGCGCACCTTCTCATCCGCTAGTCCATTGATGAGCTGCAGAAGCAGTCCCATGGTGTGAGTGCTGGGAGGCTGGCTTGAGGGTTGGGGCTGGCCCTGCCAGCAGCAGCCTTGATAGCTGCTAAGGTGGGATGTGGACAGTCACCCCAGATCCCCCCACCACAGGCCTTTCTGACCCCTGTTTAGTAGTCCCATCAGTGTGTTTCATAGAGAAAGGGCAGCACACCTTGTCTGCTCTGCCCAGCCGCTGCTCACACTGCTCACACTTTAGCTCCAACTCTTCCTTCTTAGCAACACATTCTCGGTACTTGGCCTGCATTGTGGCAATGCCATCTTCCACCTCATGAAGGCGCTGCTTTGCCTCCTCCAGGATCTGCTGTGTCACTTCCAGGTCATCCTGGGCTTCCCGCAGTGCTTGCTGCCCACAAAGAGAGGGGCCTGTCAGCTCACCATGAGAACTTGGGAAGGAGAGCCTTCCCCCACCAGCTCTGACCTATCCTTACCCGCTTGGGCTCCACAGCCTTGGCCACAAAGTGGTACTTATGCATGGCGCGCACCCACTGGCAGATAGATGTGCAGGCTTTGGACACCTTGGCAATGGCAGCAGGCTGGAACTCATCATTGTCAATGTATGGTTGGATGGATTTGATCACTGCTTCCCCAATGTTGTCCTGGAGTGGGAACCAGGGGCTTCAGGAAGTTGCTTCCCAAAGGAGACAGGGGTGGGATCTGCTGGGAAGGGAGGTCTCTGAGGTCTTTGATCCTGCTTCTAGGCTCTATATCCTCTGTAGGCCTGCACATAGTATAGTAGTATAGAGCAAACACAACCCAGAAAATCTGGCCAGACAAGGAATTTCTATGTCCCTAGTATTTCACATAAATTCCTCTGAAGCCTCAAGATGTGATAATCCACAGGTCCTATTTAAAACAACAACAACAACAAACAACTCATTTAAAGGCAAGAGCTTCTTTTGAGAGTGAGACTATCCGAAGGTAGGAGAGAAAACTAAGTGGCTCTGGTGTTCCAGAGAACCTACCACCTTCTGGAGCTCATGATAGGTGCAAGAATCTGTGTTGCTAGCCAACTCCCATGGTCAGAGTTTGGGTGGGCCCAGCGGAACCTGAGCTTGGGGTTTCTTTTCTGATGCTATTAAGCCAGGCTACTGTCTCTACTTTCCAGTTCAGTGTGTGAGGACTGGCAACTACCTCTTGACTAGTATCTGGGCTGGAGAGGGCTCCCTGATGAGACTGTGGACTCCAACCACAGTGCAGCACATGACCCAACACTGAGACCCCCAAATGGTAGACAGACAAACCCAGAGACACACAGGGAAAGCAAAACCTCAGGTGCTGAGGCCAAGGGGGCAAAATAATACTGAGCAAATAGTAAATGTCTTGGTCAAGGCCATGAGGCCCAGAGCAAAAAGGCCTTGGAATGACTGGAAGTGGCATCCAGTGCTCATGAGCCTGCATTGATCCCAATTTCGTCAATACATATTTGCAAGCAGATCTGCTGTTACCTTACCAGACAGCTCCTTAGGGCAAAGTGATGGACCTGGCAGATTATGTGACTTATAGGACAATGTGTGTTGTTCGTAGAGTTAAGGCAGCCAGAGAGGACCGGGACCACAGCACACGTAGGCACCCTGGTATACTAGGCTCTTCTCAGCCTTCTTGCTCTGCTGGATCATGCCTTTGCCCTGGGCTGGTCTGCTTACCTTGTCAAACTTGAAGAGGCTCTCGAGGAAGCGACCTGGGTCCTGTAGAAGCCCCTTGCCTGGCTCCCAGTAGTCATCCACTTTGGTGCCTGGTTTCTCTCCAGGCACCTTCTTGGGCTTGATCCCCTTCATGATGCACACAGCTTCTATGACTAGCTTCACACCTGGGGGTGGCCGCTGCATTGCACGTACCTATAGGCAAAGTCACATATCAGGGAAGGGAGAGGTCCATCACTAAGTGATTTCCCGTGGGCAGTGGTCCCCACAAATCAAGTCCCTACTGCCACAGGACCAAGGGCATACTCAGATTCTCTGAGGTCATACTTAACCTGTAGCTACCTAGGGGCTGGCACACAGAGGGTAGGGCAGCCATCTTGGGTCTATTCTTGCTTCTTGGCACATGGTTCTCAAATGATGAATGGAGTTAGGGCCTGGAGACATTCCTAGGTCCCAAGCAATGAGAGGGGCGGGGGAGGGAGGGATAAAAGGATGCCTAGCTTCCTACCTCAGTTACATCATTCTTGTTGAGGTTGCGGAGACTAGCCAGGGCTGCATCCAAGGCTGGTAGAGCCTCATCCAGATCTTTCTGAGCATCATCAGCAATGGCTTGTGCCTTTCTGGCTTTCTCATTGGCCTTGTTCTCCTCAGCCTGTACTGAATTTCGGGTCTCCTCAGCAATGGCTGTATCCACCTAGGGAAAAGAATATGTTCAGCAACAGAGACAGGCATGCCCAGCTGCTCTTTCTCCCTTCTGCATCTTGATCTTCCAGAAAAAAGGAGATGAGGGTTGGGGCATCCTATTCTCCAAGGGCCCTCCCTCCCAGAGGTCTGGGAGTAGCTCTTTTCACATCCCAAATGGTTCAGGGGCTTCCAGAATTGAACATACCAACTTAATGGGCAGGAACGCCAAGCCAAGCCCCCACAGGGTCTTTTGTACATGTCAGAGAAAGAAATCTCTCTCTCTGTGTGTGTGTGTGTGTGTGTGTGTGTGTGTGTGTGTGTGTGTGTGTGTGTGTGTGTGTGTGTGTGTGTGTGTGTGTGTGTGTGTGTGTGTGTGTGTGTGTGTGTGTGTGTGTGTGTGCTCATCCTGGTGTTTGAATTCCAGGCTGGGACTTGAATTCAGGGCCTGAACCCTGTTGCTGAGCTTTTTTGCTCAAGACTAGTGTGCTATCAGGTAAGCCACAGGTCTTTTTTTTTTTTTTAAACAAGTCTTATGGACTTTATGGACTTTCCTGTCTGGGCTAGCTTCAAACTGTAATCTTCAGGTATCAGCCTTCTGAATAGCTAGTATTACAGGCATGCCAGGCAAAAGGTATTCTTAATTCCTTTCCAGAGCATGGCACTTTACTACTATCACAATGAATGTACAAATTGGTTATGTCTGCTAGGGAGGCTGGGGCCTTCAAATACAGGCCCTCATGCTGTGAGGAATCTGCACATTTGTCTGTGCCATAATATTGTTCTGACCAAGCATTTGTCACACAAGTGTATGGCTGCGGAATAATGAAACAGGTACACAAAAGCTTGATGATTTGCAGAGTTCAGGAGCTAAAGATCTGGTGATTACAGATGTTGAGCATTCTTGGATAGAATTGCACATCTGGCAGAGGAGTCTGGGAGCGTCCTAACCTTGATCTGCTCCATAGTGGACATAGTGTCCTTGGCAGCCTCCTCCAGCAGGGGGCGCATGATCTCCAGTTCTTCCTGCATCTTGGCCACATCCTCAGAAGTGCGCAGCAGCTAGGGTGTGGGGGACGGATGGGTTAGAGAACAAATTAGGTGCGGCAGGGATCAGCATATCTGGGTGCTGGGGAAAGGGCCCTGCTATGTCACCTTCATTCAAGGCTTCTATGTAGCCCAGTGGATTCCAGGGGAAGAGGCCTAGTACTCTAAGAAATCTGTGGAGGTATCCTGATTTGGCTTGCCCTTGGTCTTAAATGGAAGGTGTTACCTGTTTCAATCTCTTGGTCTTCAGTCACCCTGCAGGCATTAAAGACCCAGTGGATAGAACCACAGGCAGTTAGCCATTGTCCACAAGATCTCTTCAAGCTCACCTTGTCTAAGCCACTCTTCATACGGTTTTTTGCAGTTTTCACCTCGTGCTTCTTCTGCCCAATGAGGATGGAGAATATGTTGAGCAATTCTAAATAGCTCTTGGGGGTCACGTAGTTGTGGCGGGCCAGTTCGGCCAGGTACTCAACACACTTCTTGGACACTGACTGGTGGATATACACGCAAACCTGAATCTGTGAGGGAAGAGTCCACAAGGATGGGTATCTGGGTACCCCCCACAAAGCCACAGCAGCCCCAAGGATGGGGCTATGTCAGCAACCTCCATACCATATGCTCATGCTTTCCTAAGATCCTCACATCCTCCAGGTCAAGGTCACCTCTTAATGGAGATGAAAAATCCAAGGTTCAGAGAAGTCAAGGACAGTTTTGGTTTTGATGTGGACTCAGGTGCCTCTCAGCTGTGGCTGGATGCCCGCCTTTGAGAGTGCTAAGGTACTGTTCCCTCAGAGGTTGGATTTAGGGGGAGGGAAAGAGCAAGGAAGGCCAGAAACTAGCTAGGCAGGGAAATGTGGGTTTATCCTAGTTTGGGGCCTTCAGGGGGCCATCATCCTTTGAGGATGAACCAGACAAATCTAGTCAAACCCATTTGTGTGGTCTCTGGAGTTATGTTAGGGAGCTCTTGGACAGAAACTGCCACGAAATCCTGAGTATAATAGAGACAGTAATCATGTAGCTAGATGCCAAATATTGTTCCCATACTTTTATGACCTGTGGCACTCCTCATTCCTCAAGTAAGTGACTGAGTCTTAGACAGGTAAAGTTATACGATCAATGGCTCACTGTTGGTGGTTAGCCTGGACACTCACCCAGCCTCTATGACCTTGAGTCTATACCCAAAATGAAGCAGTTTGCCTTGAGAGCTCACACTTCACCAAGACACCTACCAGTCCTTTAACTATTTCTGGAGAAGATTCCAATTCTGGGATCTCATTCAGGAACCTGGTGGCCACAGACTCCAGGGCCTCTGCTGGCCACTCATTAAACCAGTCAATGGTACAGCAGTTGACGAGGGAGGGGAACTGCCTTAGGCGAGCTCTGAAGACCTCTCCAATAGGGCTGGGGGGAGGGATAGGTACTCAAATGAGGATCAGAGACACTGACTTAGGCCCTCAGGAACCAGGGTCCATCTACATCCCTATTTACATGGCAGTCAGAATATAACAACACAGGTCATTTTCTCCTTCAAGATGACCTGCTTTCAGCCTATTGAATTTCTTTCAGCCTATTGTATTTCTAGCCAAATAAATTTTCCTATCAGTTTCAAAAAAAAAACAAACAAACCACAAAACAAAAGTGACTATAATAGCACAGTAACCCGGTCCTAATACAATGGTGGCCAGACTTGGGCCATGGATCGTATCAGGCCTAAGTCCCCAAGTCTCTAGCATCCCTGGGGGGCTGGCCCCACCAGCCCAGAATTGCAGCCCCAGTGTGGTCTGGCAACAGCTGCTTATACCTCATGCATAACACCATGTGGATGTTGTTTCGCACACGCCCAGTGTAGGCAGCTACGAGGTTGGCTTTGGTGGGCGGCAGACCCTGCTCCTGGATATAGGGCCTCATGGCCGTGACAATCTGGTCCTGCTCATCAGCATTGTAGAGGTTGGGAATGTCACCTGAATTCAGAACATTGTTGATATCCTCCAAGAAGGACTCGTTTTTGATCTGGAGAAAGACCAGGGTTGGGAGCTCAGTCTTTGTGATGGTCCCTTTGTGTGGACTCCATGAGCTTATCTCACTGGACCTTTACAACAGCCCCATTTTTAGATCAGAATACTACAGATCAAAGAAGACCAGGGTCACTTGAAGGACTGTGTAAGTCATAACCCAGGATTTGCACTCAGGCTTGCCCTATTAGAGAAACTGTGGCAAGAACTTGGGTCCTGGGTAGAGGTATGGCATTTTCCTGTTTCCTTTCCAGTTTCCTTCTAGGCCTTGGTTTACTCTCAAGAGGAAATCATGGCTATAGGTAGGAATATCTGGCTTGGGTCAGAGGGTACTTCATTTTATTGACTGATTCAATGACTATCTGAAGGGATCCCTGAGTTGGGACAGGGCAAAGAACAGAGAGGCTTTAGCCAGCTCCCCAGGCCCAACCCCACTACCAGCCAGGTTTAAGCACAGCACTATTTGTCTTATGGCCCCAGAGCTACGGTCTTTCTCCATCACTTAGAGACCTGCAGAGAGCCCAGGAAGCAGCTATGGTCCCACATATTTTGGAAACAAACCCTCTAGTAGGAAGTGGTTGGCCGATGTGTGGTGTGCCATGGTACCAGAAGCCTTTACCTTTTTTTAACCATTGGCTGTACCATCTATGCCCCTTAGCTCTGAGAAGTGGGGTTTGTCTCTATACACTTGATCAGACCATCTGTGGTCCCACTTTATCCTGCCAGTTCATCCTCAGATCACCTCTGACTGGTAGTAAACTGGGCATGAAGGACTGACCACCTTGGCAAGATGCTACACTAGGAAAGTATTGTATCCAACCCATCCCAAGCCCTGCCCATGGCTGTGACCGTGGCACCTGGGTATCTGAGAACAGGAAGGTGATGGGCAGATTCTGCAGGCCAGCCTTGAGCAGGACCTTCTTAACATCTTCACGCCACTCAGGCATGCCATAGTTCTTGGACAGCTCGATCTGGAAGCACTCATACTCAGCCCTGGAGGCAGAGTTTGCATCAAGACATGCCAGGGATGGGTGGTGTGAGACCAGGCACTGATAAGTCAGGGAGGGGAGTATATACACCTTACCCAATCTGGAATCTTGTTCCCATCCTGGGCAGATTCTCCAGGTCCTGCACTTGCTTTCCTGCTTTCTGACCTTTGCTCAAGCTATTACCTCAGCCAGGACTACATTTCCATTCCCTTCTCTCAGCTCTGATTCTGCCAGCAGATCCACAGATACCTCCCCTAGGAAGCATGCATCTCTATCTCCACCCCCTACAGCATCACAAGGAACTACTACTGCTTTTCCTTAGGGATTTCAGTTCAATTGTTAGGCGGTCTAGAAGCCCATGGGCTGGGTGGATCTGACTCAGGCTTCCTATGAAAACAAGCAGACTGCACCAGTTGCCCTCTACCCACCATGCCTGGGGTCCTTACATGTGGGAAGCAAGCAGTGTGAGGGAACTGCGGCCACTGCCACCCACACCTAGCAGGAGTGCATTGCCCAGTGCCTGGCGTAGAGTGCGGCTGATACGGCAGATGTGGCTCATGGCATCCATGAAGAGGACCAGCTTCAGCTTGGCTGTGTTGATCTGGTTGTAGTCCTCCATGTATTCCTCGATCACATGCAGCATCTGGGAATGGAATGGAAGAGAAGAGTCTCCTACTTCCCTCCCTGCCCTTCTCTGTCCAGACCAAGAAACACAATGATTGTCTACTCTTTGATCTGGCAGGTTGAATGTTTTCCCCTGCAGACTTGAACCCAAGAAGATGCCTTAAGTATTCCAGGGTGCTACTCAACCAGTCACTAATTTAGGTTGTAACATGAAATACTTAAAGAGCCATCATGTAGTTTCCTGTAAAAAGCTAGCTCTGTCCTCATCAGAGTTCTCTAAACTATCACATGAACTCCATCTGGACACACAGAATATCTTGTCTTACTGTGCTTCACAAGAAAGTCGTAGTCCAGTCTGTATGTGAGTTCTTCTGATTTTGTGTGTGTGTGTGTGTGTGTGTGTGTGTGTGTGCATGTGTGTATGCTTGCGCATGTGTACCAGTCCTAGGACTTGAACTTAGGGCCTGGGTGCTGTCCCTGAGACTTTTTGTAAAACAAACAAACAAATAAATAAAAAACCCACCACACCTCCACTTCTGGGTTTTTGATGGTTTATTGGAGATAAGTCTCATGGACTTTTGTACCCAGGCTGGCTTTGAACTGCAATCTCAGATCTCAGCCTCCTGAAAAGCTAGGTTACAAGCATGAGCCACTGGAGCTTGCCTAGGACCCCTGATTTAAAGTGCTTCAGACTGAGTGCCCTGGCATCTAGTGCTTTCTTTGGAATCTCAACCAGCTCACCTCAGGACAGCATGGAGCACTCTTGTGCTACCCCTTCTGTGGTGTGTCTAGCCATGAGTTTGGCTGATTGGAATCCTATATGCCAAGGTCCTCCCTGCCAGGGAGTTCACCCTGTCCTGCAACCAACTTGTCTCCTGTGTATAGATGAAGGCTGGCTTTAAGAAAGTATACCCAATGCTGGGCGCGTTGATGGTCACGCCTGTAATCTTAGCTACTCAGGAGGCTGAGATCTGAGGATCATGATTCAAAGCCAGCCCAGACAGAAACTCCCTAAGACTCTTATCTCCAATAAGCCACTCAAAAAACCAGAAGTGGTACTGTGGCTCAAGTGGTAGGGCCCTCATCTTGAGCTGAAGAGGTGAGGGATAGCACCCAGGCCCAGAGTTCAAGCCCAACAACTGACCAAAAAAAAAAGAAAAGAAAAAGAAAGTACACCCAAGCCAGGCACTGGTGCTTCATGCCTATAATCTTAGCTATTTAGAAGGCTGAGATCTGAGAATTGTGGTTCAAAGCTAGCTCATGAAGAAAAGTCTGTAAAACTCTTATCTCCAATTAACTATCAGAAAATTGGTAGTGGCACTATAACTCAAAGTGGGTGAGTGCTACCCTTGAGCAAAAGAACTCAGGGACAGAGCCTAGGCCCTGAGGTCAAGCCCTATGGCTGAAAAAAGAAAGTACACCCAGAAGCCAGGTACCTGTGGCTCACGCTTGTAATTCTAGCTATTCAGAAAGCTGAGATTTGAAGATCACAGTTGAAAGCCAGCCCAGGCAGGAAAGTCCATGAGATGTATATCTCCAATTAACCACCAAAAAGCAGGAATGGTGGTTCAAGTGGTAGAGCACCAGTCTTGAGTAGAAAAAGCTAAGGGACAGTGCACAGTTCCTGAGTTCAAATCCCAGGACCAGCACACAAAAAAGAAAGCCCACTAATGAACTATATTCCCCCTGTACATTACCTTTATAATAAAAATAAAAATATTAAAGTAAAAAAGGAAAGAAGAAGGGAGGAAAAGGAAGAAAGGAAAGATGGAAGGAAGAAAGGAAGGAAGGAAGGAAAGAGGGAAGAAAAGGAAGGAAAGAAGAAAGGAAGGAAGGAAGGAAAGAAGGAAAGAAGGAAGGAAAGAAGGAAAGAGGGAAGAAAAGGAAGGAAGGAAGGAAAGAAGGAAGGAAGGAAGGAAGGAAGGAAAGAGGGAAGGAAGAAACTACCCTCAAGCCTGAGGGTCAGGAGGATAGCACTCCTGAAAGGCTCACCAGGCTGCATAGATCCTGGGACCCTGGGAAGAGCCCTTAGGAATTATGAGAGGACACTTGAGGAACAAAATAATTAAGGAGTCCACTGCAGCCATGCAGCTCCGAGGCCACTGAGTCCTGCCCTCTATGAGTGGGAATGGTTACACCTCAAGTGGGCTTAGTGTGTCACTGTCTCAGTTGGATCCCAGGCCTATTCTCAGACAGGCTGAGCAGTGCCTTGGCTGACTGTCCTGACCTTCTGATCTGGTGTGGTAATCTGTTAGCAGGGTCCTGGGGCCCAGGAGGCAGACTAAAGAGAACCACCACCCATGAGCCCCTCACCTTATTCTCACTGGTGATGAGCTCATAGGATTTCACGTCTGCACCTGGTGACATGAAGTCCCCATAAAGAATGGGCTGGGTGGGGCAGACCTTGTTGAAGGGCACTTCCCACTCTTCCATGTGGCTCTCCAGAAGCTGGTCAAACCAGGTGCGGTCTTCTTCATTCACCAGTCGGTCCCGGAATACGCGGCAGTTCTCATGATACCACAGTCTCAGCAGCTGCACTTTGTCCTAAGGGCACCCCGAATTAGTACTAGCCCTTGATCCCACATCCTCAAGCAATCTTTCAGAGTACCCAGGGGAGACAAGGTGTGTAGGAGCCTGAGTCCTTGGGTTCCTACCTGAGCCAGACTCCCCCCACAAGCCAACCAGGGCCATGTACAAAGGCTGCTGGGAAGTGTGTCTACTAGCTGAGAGTGGATTGAGGGAGCTGAGGTCTCTTTTACCTCCAGCTCTACACCCACTGTGCCAATCACAGCCCCTACCAGCCAGTACTTGCTGGTTATAATTGCTTCAGAGTCATCACTTTCCTCTCTTTCAGCTCCTGAGACGCTAAGCCCAGGAGTTCTGATTTCTCCTTCTACCTTCTCAATACTCCATATTTAACTATTCATGGAGCCCTGTCAATCTCTTTTAGGACCTGCCCCCTCTGTTTTTGTCTCTGTTCTTCCTGTGCCCTAGCTTCTCTGCCTCTCCCAGGGTGACTGGACCACCTTTGAGAGGTCCTAGGCTCTTCTTGGTGCTCCTTTGCTATGATTGGGGCAGGGCCAGGGTTTGAGCCTATTCTGTCCCCCAACATCCTCAGGCTCAGAAATTGTCTATCCAGGTAGTGGCTCTAAATGGCTCCCTGCAATCTTTAGGATGAAAGTTAAGCTACACACTGGCCCCCACAGCCTGTACTGCCCACTACATTCCTGGTCCTTCTATCCGTGCATCTTTAGTGTCTGAAGACACCTTGTTTGCTTACTTCCACAAGGCTCTCACACATGGACTAGTACAAACCCTCTCACTTCCTTGCCTTGTTCTGGCTCCTTCATTTGTATGATCACCATGTAAAGGCTACTGCGCCAGGCATGAGATTGACCCACAAGATAGGGACCACTACACAATGCCTAGGCTCTTGGGGGCCCAGCTTCTTTATGGCCTGGCTTATCAGCGCAAGAAGCCTAAAATTGGGGAACCCAGGGAAGGTGACCAAGGCAGCATGGGCACTTGGGAAGATGGCATGCTGGATCCTCACCTCAACTTTGGAAGGTTCGGCCATGAGTATACCCTGGAAGACCTTGGAGAGGTCTCTCAGGTTGAAGGTATAGTGAGACTTGGCTGGAGTGGGCAGCAACTGGGAGGTGATGGTGGCATACACCATGATAGTAGCTTCCACGAGGGACTCTGTGAGATGAGCAATATTGGGAGCTCCAGCTGTGGGGACAGGAGAATATAGCCTGGGTTTCAGGCTAGGATTCCACTCACCCCTTAGCTCTATCTTAGATGCCTTCTTTGCAATAGGATCTTCTTGATGCCTCCACATCAAGTGGGCATCTCCTGCTCTGTGCACTCTCCTTTTATGTCTTGCTATCATGCATCAATGCTGAGATGCATTTACAGAATTGTGGGCACCAGTGGGCTCAGTGCTGGGCAGACCCTTGCTATCTTGCTGTATCAGACTGTGCTGAACATGTTAGCTCTGGGCTATACATGGGGACGGGTCATTTGATCCACAGAGGCTTCAGGAGTATTTAATAGTAGGTGTGGAATGACCTGGCATTCAGGTCCAGGTGAACCTTCAGGGCTCATCACCCTCCTGGGAGCTGCTGCAACTTCCAGCCTGAATTTTAATCAACAAACACACTGTTTTGTTCTCCAAAGACTATACCATTCTTCACTAGGAACCAAAATTCTGTTAGGGGGAAGTTGGGGTGGAAGAAGCCCTAGAAATAAGAAAAAGGCCAGGTGCTCACACTTGTAATCCTATCTATGTAGGAAACTGAGATCTGAGGATCTAGGTTTGAAGCCAGCCTGGGCAGATGTATCTGAGATTTGCATCCAATTAACTACTAAAAGCCACAAGTGGAGCTGGACTCAAGAGATAGAGTTCCAGAGGTAGAGGTAGGGGTAGAGTTCCAGGCTTGAGTGAAAATGCCCAGAAAGAACATGAGGCTGAGTTCAAGACCTAGTACTGGCACAAAAAAAAGAAAAGAAAAAGACAGAGGGGCAGGAGTAGGGCTCTTTGAGGAACATTGGCTTATTCTGGGGCCAGGCATAGACACTGGGCATAGTGTCTGTTGAGCAAACACTCCTCATCCTCAACAAGCTGACCTTCTTATCTTGGAGATGGTAATGAATGGGTCAATAAGTAAAAGAGAATGATCAAGTAACAAGTTCTATCAGGAACTTGCATCAGGAATAGAGGCTTGAGGAGTCCCAGGCTTTTGGGGGTCAGTCCAAAAATTCTTGGGGAGGCATCATTGACAAGGGGGACATGGAAGCCAAAACCAAACAAGTGACAGACAAGCATGCACATAGCTGGAGAGGAAGAACAGTGTGTGTGTGGGGGAGGTGAGTTAGGCAGAAAGCACAGCAAAGGCAAAAGCCCAGGGGTGAGACCATGACTGGGGAGCTAAAGATCAGTGAGGAGGGAATGTGTGGGAGGAAATGAGTCCAGAGAGGTGTTGAGGAGCACAAGTAAAGTTTCACCTACCACTCTCAGGACTTGGGAGTTCTTGCCTGGATGAGACAGTTGAGCAGAGGACCAATGTCTTATTTTTTTTTTAAACAGAGATAATTGTATTGTTCAGGCTGGCCTCAAACTTATGGGCTCAACCTGTCCTCATACTTCAGCCTCCTAAGTAGCTAGAATGACAGATTTACATCATCATGCTATCTTGATTTAATGTTTTAATGGGTCCCGCTGGCAACAAGTAGAAGATGGAGCATAGTTATGCGAGGGCAGAAGCAAAGAGACAAGGGAAGGGGCTGCTGTAACCACTGATGAGCACAATCAGGGATGGCTTCTTCAAGGAAAACCAGCAGATCTATTGGATGAGATGAGACATGAGAGGAAGAGGGAAAGATAGGTGTTGCAGATGACATCAAGACTCTTGTTTGAGTACCTGGAAGGATGTAGCTGCCATCACCTGAGCTACGATGGGGCAGCCAGGAGTTTGGATTTGGGCAATCTGAGATGCACAGAGGTATGGATGTAGGCTTTCAGGAGTAAGGTCTGGGCTGGAGGTATGAACATGGGTGTTGTCGGCATAAGGATGACTTTTACTACTAGAGGTAGGATGAGATTGTCTGAGGAGAGTGTAGCAGAGGCTGCAGGTCAAAGTGTCTAATAAGGAACTCCGGGGAGGGAGAAGGGCCTGGGAGAAGCCATGGGGAGGAGGAGCTACTTACAAGCAAATGAGGACTGAGAGGCGATCACTGGTTTGGCCACTGGTGATGAGCATTCTCAGGTGGTATAGGAGATGCTCATGGGAAGGTTGGAGAGGAAGCCAGTGCTAATGGAAAGTTTTTTTTTTTTAAAGAAGTTTTGCCATCAAGGTGAACAGAAAAGTCGGGTGATGGCCCAGGGTGAGTGGGAGCTGGCCAAGACAAAGTTATTTTTTGTGTTGAAGTTAAAAATGGGAGAAACTGATACTTATTCTAATGCCAAGTAGCCCAGTAGAGCAGGGAGTCCTGCTGTGGGTCCTGCCCTCCAGTACATTCAAGAGGAATATTTGGCCAGCTCCAGAAAGTCCATTCCAAGTCAAAGTGAAAAGACAAGGTCACAAGTGAAGCTGGAGGCCCAAAGAAGGAGCCCAAAGGTCTCTTTCAGCACAGAGAAGGGAGAAAAAAGGGGTGGCCACAGATGACAAAGCCTGAAGGGTGGCAGCCACCCTGCAGTGATGATTGACAGGTAAGAGTTGCATGAGGCTGCCACACAAGGTGTATTGACTATCACCTCTGTTTCCATGAGGAGTTGCATGTCTGCTCCCAGCATATGCTCCTTACAGAAGGCTGGCTCTCCTTTGAATGGTGGCTGTAACTTTTCCCACAGAGTAGAGTTTATTGGGTTCCTTCTTTTATTCATTTATCTTTCATTTCCTGACCATTTACTATTAGATGATACTCATGCAGGTTCTGGGGGGGCTGATAGGCTATACAAATGGGTCTGGGAACCTAAGATGGCAATTCTTGTCACTAACCTTTGCCTTGGTACCTATGTGAGCCCAAGAAGTATTCATCATGGCCCCCGGTCCTAGCCTCAGTGTACCTAATCAGACCCAACCCTGGAGCTCACCCTATACAGGGTCCTCTCCCTTCCAGGCCCTCCCAGGTCTAGAAGCCTCACTTACGCACAGGCTCTCGGTAACTTTTTTCTCCAAGGAGTCCATCTGGAGGGTTGAGGGAGAGAAATGGGGATCAGAGTCAGGTAGGCCTCTTGCCGCCACCTTGGCTAGCTATGCCCAGATAGGAAGCTCTTAAAGTGGTCACAGTCCCTACCTTTCCGTCCCTCCTTAGATCACTGTGTCCCACACTCCCAAACTGAGTATGCAAGGAAGTTCTGGGCCATAGCTCAAGCTCAGGCCAAAGGAAGCCTAAGGGTCATCAATCACCAGTTGGCAGAGTGCCAAGTAGAGGTCCATGGTTCGAGTGTGTTCTGGGTGAGATGTGGGCTGGTGGGGAAATAACATCCTATGGTAGGCTTTTCCCAAGCCCTAGGAAGGATCCAGGAGCACTTTGTCTATTCGGTCTTGGGGGCTTTCACTCAAGTTTCTGGGAAAACACTAACACATACATCTATGTATGCATACAGGTGAATTCATGCATGCATACACACACACACACACACACACACCCATCTCACTATTTACAAGGCTTCATTCTAGTATTCCATGTGCCATTTATCTTACCTAACCCTCCACTTGGAGTGATAGGTACTAATATTCTCACTTGCTTTACAGATGAAGAAATTGGGGTTCAGAGAAGCTCCTGAGCTCGGCAAAGTTAACAGCTGAGTATGGGGTGAAGTTGAACTTGCAGTTAAGTGAGCAGTTCTGCCACTTGGTCTGTCCTGTGGTCACCCAGCTGTCCTAGGTATGGGACCTGACTAGGCTTCTGCCTTTGACCATGGTCTCTCTTATCCACCTCCCTCCCCAACCAACTCACCCATCCAACATCCTAGGATGGTAGAGAAGATGCGCGTCTGGCTGACCTCGTCCATCTCGGTGAAGGATAGGTAGTTGAAGTGACGGGTCAGCCTTGCCGTGATGGCATTCCGGCCTCCCCCTGGAGGGCCCATGGCACAGACAAAGTTGATGTCCACCAACTTCTTGAAGGCTCCTGAGTGGGGGCAGAAAATCAGGAAGGGCCCTGCCTGGATCTACATTATGATTTTTGTGGGCCTTCTTCCTCATGAAAAGAATATGTATGAATTAAATATGATAGTTTCTAACAGTATTGATAATAGTAATAAATGTGTTCAGACATTAAAATTTTTTCTCTGGCCTACAGTTTCATTACCCCCAATTTTAACAGAAGTTAAAATATTTTTGTGGGCCCCTAAACTTATTGCATGGCCTTTAACTCTACTGTGCTCTTGCTCAGCACACAGCCTAGGCTGATACGCACCGATGGTCTTGCGGTCATACCAGCCACCGTGGTCCATCCACTGGCGCAACAGCTCAATGGGTGGCTGTGCTCCATATGTCTCCAGGGCTGGCATGTTTAGATCATCAATGAAGAAAATAAAGTTGCGCCCAAGGGGTGGTCCAAATACACCTTTCCGCCTGCAAGAGGGGCTGTGTGAGACTGGTATCCATAGGCACTAGGCCCCCCAAGAATCCAGGGACAACAGGATGACTCCTCACTAAAAATAAGCCTCTTCCAAATTTCCAGTCCTCTGTCTTGTTCTGAACATTCGGGAACATTAGGGACTGACTGACCTGTGTATGAGCTCCCTTAAAGGAGTCTTGCCTCCCAGGCAAATGGATAATAGGCATCTCCCAGACAGGTACAAAGCCTTGCTCAAGTGCCCACCTCAGGCCAAGTGCCCACTGAAGGAATGTAGACAGGGGGAGAGCTCTGGAGAAGTCTATGGGGGAACCCAGGTCCCCTTGAGGAACCGCTAGCTCCCACCAGGAAGCTTCTGTCAAACCCAGAGAATCATTTTAGTAGATAGTTATTTAGGAATGAGGAGTTAACAAGGGATTTCCTGCCTCTTGTCCAGTTTGCTGTCGATGAGGTCTTGGGTCTGGTTAGCTGAAGTGCGAGCTGAGAAGGTAAGGAAATGGCTAATGTATTCTAATGGTAGGTTCTTGAGAAGCTTGTTGGAAATGGTAATAGTTTTCCCTGTGCCTGTTGGCCCAATACACAGCACCTAGGAGAATGGAGATTGGGCAGTCATGCACAGAGAGAGCTGCCACCTTATTGATGTAGGAGGCTAGCCACTCTACAGCTTAGGCTGGCACAGTATGGGCACTCACAGGCTTTCGGCTGGTCAGTAGCATGCCCAGCAAATAGGACATCTGCACGGTGTCCATGGTGGGCACAATGATGTTGGAGTAGCTGGTGTCTGGTATCATGGTGAATGGAGCTGAGGAGTCCATCCACTTCACCCAGGCAACCTGGAACCACAGCTAGCTCAGGGTGTGTCTGAAACCCCATCCCACCCCACTCTGGCTGCTGTCTTCCTTGCAATAGGAAGGCAAAGGATTATGTTCCTGAGCCTTGGCAAGAGGGCCCAGGTGAGGGGTTACTTCTGACAGAAATAGGAATTCCTATGGGCTAGGTTGAGGGACTGTCATTCTTAGGTCTCTGCAAGAAGGCAATGTTCTGGGAATTGGAAAACCTAGAATGCAAAGGTGCTTGTTGTTTAGTTTCAGTATAACCAAGGAGTGTGGGGTGCAAACAAAGGGTATTGGCATCAGAGGATGCCGAAGGCCACCTGGCTTGGTCTCCCCATCATCCTTGCCTTCATGAATCCCTTGATTCACAACCCTAATCCAACTTGCAGACTTCCCTCAATGTGTTTCCCTATGGCCTACCCAACATGTTCTACTGGGGATTTTTCTGGTTGTTAGACCCAAATGTATCCTGCAAGCTTCTAGGGACCCTGCAAAAGTATAAGGTCTCTACAGACCCTCTCTGCCCCTTCTTCATGAGGTCTGGAATCCTGACCTTAGAATAATACTGGCTGATAGTAGGGATGGCTTCCTGGGCCCCTCAGGAAATCATTTCCTGGGAAAATGGTGATATTAAGTACAACGGAGGCAGCCAGCTCTTGGGATCAGCATCAACCCAGAAAGCAGTACATGTAGTTGAAAAGGGAGGCACTTGGATGTCTCCTAGCCCCAGGTTCAAGTTCAGTTCTACTACTAACTACTTTGGGCCTTAACTACCACCCAAAAGGTATGAGAATCCATGAGACCCAGTAGTCATCAATGTGGCTTTCTCTTGGTAGCTGCTATTCATCATTAACAGCTACCACCTAATAGAGTTCTCCCCATCTTGATTTTTGGACAGGCCTGTGGCTACCTGCTTGTTCTCGTCCTCATCTTCTTCATCATCTTCAATACTACTGATGCCAGCATCCTCTAGTCTATAATCGAATACCTGTCCATTTTCAGGGAAGCATAGAGTCACCTGCCAAGGACCAGGAAGAGAAGCAGAATGTGAGGCCCCGAAGCATTGCTTCTTCTAGCACCTAGGGGATCATGTGCGGGGTGTGTGTGTGTGGGGGGGAGGGAATGGGGCTTCTCCCTTTCACCTTTTCCATCGTCATTTTCATCCTTAGCCAGTGGTTAAAGTTCAAGCGGCTCTTGCTGTCTCCAGTGGCTCCTACACTCCAAATCAGGGAAAAGATGAACCAGGGCTCAATCAGCTCTGGGATACGACTTAATTTTTCAGAGGGAATCTTCTTGAGGTCCTGAGGACAGAGGGAACAGAATTTAGCTAACGGAAAACAGTCCTGGATGGCCTACAGCACATTGGCTGGGGTGGTCTCACAGTAAGCCAATCCAATTCCTCTTCCTGAAAGCAGAATTTGGAATTCAGGATCCTCAGGTAGGCCAGCTAAGTAGAGCAGGAGACAATATGGACTAGATATCTTAACCCACTGATAGGGGATATACCTCTCTAGGCAGAAAGGGCTTGAAGAAACAGTCAAGCAGCTTGAGGAGGCTTGTGGTCAGGTTGCTGTTGGTTGAGGCGATCACCTCCTTCACTGAGGACCGAACAAAGTCAATGGCATCCTGTAGAGAGCAAGCACTTAGCTCTCATGGCTTGAGGCCACAATCCCTGATGCTCCACCAGGTTGGGGATGTCTGTGGCCTTGTTTACCTCCAGAAAGCTGACAAAGAGTTCCTTCAGCTGATCCTTGTGAGGCTTTATCAAGGCAGGAATAGTCTTTAGCCAACACTCAACGAAGGGCATGAGCCCTAAGATGCTAGGCTCCAGGTACACCATGCCACAGCGTGACACTGTGGCTGGGGAGGCCACTGCCAGATCCTGCACCTCAAACATCATGGTCATTGCCTGGTGGTAAGATGAAATATGTGACAGGGCCAGCCCTGGGGAAGGGCTGGTGATCTGGCCAGCAGGATCTGTGGGCAGGCTGTGGATTTAGGACAGGACTGTGAGGTGAGGATGGGGGGGCGGGTAAAGATGTTCATGGACCCTTGGGCCCTGAGCTGATAATATTCCCTTCCTGGAGTCCCAAATGGAGATCACAGACCTTTCATTTCTTTTTTATTCTTCTTGTTGGTTATGGGGCTTGAACTCAGGGCTTGGATGCTGTCCCTGAACCTCTTTGCTCTTAAGGCTAGCACTCTACCACTTGAGCCACAGTGTCACTTCCACAAAATAGAAACCAAAGTTGGGAGATTTCTGGGGTTTTCTGGCTAGCCTGGGATCCCTAGAATTTTGAGGAATCTGGCATGAACTGTTATACTCTATTCCGGGCCTCTGTCACCCTTCCAATTGACTGCCAGGTGCTCTCAAGAGACCAGCTAAGCATACACTTTGTGAATTGCTCTTGTGCCCAGGTCATAGTTCTCACATATGAGGCAGATTTCTGTAGTTAAGTCTGTGTCACCTGCCCAAAGACTCTGGGTACAAGACTAGATGGGCTTATGGCCCAGACTGGGCTGATAGGGTTGAAAGTATGCTGAGGGAAGAGGGACACAAGAAGTATCAGCTGAGGAAACAGTAGGACAGTCATCCTGACCCTGGGCTCTGAGCATCATGGGAAGAGGTAGGCTCAAAATGTAGCACCGAGTGGCTGCATAGCACATGGCCAAGGTCAGGGAGTTCAGGGGCAGGGAGAGGTGCTGGGAGTCAAGTCTGAGCTCCTGACAAGTGTCAGGTTTCTGGGTGAGTGGTGGGGATAGTAGTGATGGCCTGAGATGTAGCCCGAGGCCCCAGAAGGCAGGTGTAAAGTGGGACAAAGTTTAGTCAGTATGGCAGGGCCCACCTAGCTGTTAAAAGAGTGGTGGGAATACAAGTGATTCTACCTCTGTGAGCTTGATGATCTCCCCAGAGCTGAGGCACAGTTTCTTATTGTCATCCAGCACTGTGTTCATGTTCTCGATCCAGACGGCATCCACTGGCCCATCGAACATGTACCACTTCTTGTTGGTGTCAGAGGCAATAGCCCCTGCCCGGATGAGGGAGGAGAAAATCCCATCTGTCCTGCAACCACCAGGTGGTCAGAGCTAGAGGTACCAGGGTTTCACACAGCTAGCCCCCAGGAAAACCTGGCTGCCCAGCTAGCTCCAACCTGCTTTTATTACTCTTTCAGTATTTTTGCTCGTTTAACAATTAGAACAAGACTGTAATCCTAGGTATTCACGAGGTTGAGATCTGAGGATCACAGCTCAAAGCCAGCTGGGGCAGAAAAGTTCCCATGAAACTCTTTTTTTTTATTGTGAAAATACTGTACAGAGGGGTTACAATTACATGGGCAAGATAATGAGTACATTTCTTATCAAGCATTGTTGCCTCCTCCTTTGTTTCCCCTTCCCATCCCTTCCCATCCTCCCCCTGCCCTCCCCCCAATCCTCCTCCCCCACCATGAAACTCTTATCTCCAATTAACCACTCAAAAACTGAAAGTAGCGCTGTGGCTCAAGTGGTAGTGAGTTATTGGAAAAGCTAAGGGAGTGTGCCTGGGTCCTTAGTTCAAAAATTTTAAATGCGACTTTGGTTTTAACACAGTATAATGGAAAGACATTTTTAATCCCCTGCGCGCTGAATGCCCATGGATGTCACAGTAAAGGAAGATAAATGGTGGTATCAGAATTGGACAAAAGGGCTGGGGAAGAAGCAAAGCAGAAATGAGGAGCATGTAGAGCTTGAGGGGTAGGAAGAGCCAGTCCCGCCACAGAACCCAGGAAGGCTGAGACTTCAGAGGCTCCAGATACCAGGGAAGGGTAAGAAAGATTCTCTACTTGGCTAACCTTTAGTTTCTGAATCTTTCCCAGGTCCCTCTGCATAGCCTCATAAATTCCAGTTTGGGCAGAGTCCTGCTGTATCAACTAAGCCAGAGTCTCTCACTCTGCATACCTAATTATTTTGGATACCCAATCCATCTTGCTATCTGATCAGGTCCCTCATCGTCCATTTCCTCTCCAAGTGAGGTCTGATAACCTGGCTTATCTTCAGCAAGAATCCTGTGAGGCCAGTTTAGCCAAAATCTCCCTCACCCATGATGTGTGTGTTTAGTAACTGTCTAATCTCCTAGTAGCTCTAGCCTGACCCTTGGCTATAAATTTTCACTTGTCTTTACTGCATTCAGAATGGACCCCACTCTCTCTCCCTCATTACAGTGGTTTCTATACTTTTGGTAATGGTCCTAGGCTTGCAGAACACTGGAGCCAAGCAGATACTCCAAAAAGGAGGCAGTAGACTCCTTCAGAATAGCTTTAGAGAAATCTCTTCTGGTGGCCATTCTCCTGGCTCAAAGCACTTTGCCTAAAATGCACACTCTAAGCTAGAAATAGAGGTCAGCCTCTTTTGGGGGTAATGGAAAATATCATTTACTGAGTGTGTCCTGGGCGACAGAAGCTTTCCTTAAACTCATTTTCTTTTTACCATGATAACGATCCCATTATTCTCACTGTATAGATGAGTTAGCAAACAGAAAAAGATGGCAGAGGTACTTAGGAGGAAATGGGGAGGTGACTAGAACTGGTTTGGGGCTGAAAGCCCCAGTCTGCCACTGGAAGATAGAGGTATGTGGCGGGGGGGGTGGTGGCATGGCCTCCAGAGGCCTGTAGAGGAGGGGACTGGGGGTCACTCACCATTCATGGGTGAGCAGGTCAAACTCTCCATACAGCTGGCCCATGGTGATGGACTTGGGGTTGAGCACATAGTAGTTCACAGCCTCATATACACCCCCACTGATGGATGGCTGCCCTTTCAACATTGTCATAGCAGCTGCCAGAACCCTGTAACACTAAGCCGACAGCACCACAGTGAGCCTCTTGGCTTCCGGGAGAGCAGGCTAGAGTGCACTAGGGACTACAGGAAACAGGAGGGGCACTGTGGAGGCCTAGAGGATATAACCTAGAGGATCTAAATGTCCTTGTTGAGTTTGCAACCCCTCAGGCTCACTGTCCAGGCACTGGGCTGCCTGAGCTTGCTTTACTCACGTTACTTTTACCAGAGCCCGTGGGCCCCACAAGCATGAGGCCATGCCGCACCACTGTGGTCTCATACAGCTGGATGCACTTAGTCAGGAAACCTGGGGAACATGATAGAAGAGTCCCGAGATCAGAGCATGAGCTTGGGTCCTGGCTCTGCCCTTAGCTTGTGTGACTTTGGGTGAGTCATTTCAGTCCCTCAGCTTGTTTTCTCATAGCACCTATCTTATAGGAAGGGGCAGATAAAGCCCTAAGCATAAAGCCTGGCACAGAGTAGGAACTCTAGATGTCAGATATTGTTTACATTTTGACTATCATTCCCTAATATCCTCTGGTCAGTTGATCAGCCATTATAGGCTCTAGAATCTGTCTCAAGGCTACAGTCCATCCTGCTGAGAGCACCAGTGTCAGTGCTGGCCAGTATGGGGTAAAATCCTAGTCAGTCAGGAACTATAGGGACAGCTTTCAGGCACAAGCAGAGGGCCAGGTCCATGTAGATAGGGCATTGCTTTGGGCCTAGGGGGAGTAGGGAGTCATAGCTCTGGTACTGAAGGCCTGAGAACTTTGATCTCCCAATTAACCAGGAAGAGCAAAGCTAACTTACATCCGTGAGGAAGAGGAATCTGTGAAGACTTATTGAACAAGTGCGTTCAGCCTAGGCATAAGAGGTTGCCAGAGAAAGGAGCATTAAAGTCACATCAAGAAAGGGAGAGTAATGGAGGAGCCTAGGGGAGGTGTGCTGTGGGGCTGAGCACATCAAATGCTCAGGCCCCAAAATAAGGCCTTGTGTGGCCAAAGTAACTGCCATTATTATTCCCACTGGGAGAGGTTGGGAGCAGGTGTGTCAGGGAATTGTGGGGGAATGAGAACTCAAGCTGCAAAGATATGCAGTGGTGGGGCAGAGGTCATCAGCATCCAAGCAGGGGAGGACAGGGAGATGACCCCTCATCAGTAAGGAAGGAGCTGCACCTGATTATACAAGTCTTGAGAGAGAACTAAGGATTGAGGCTGCTCCTCACCTGAGACAGAGGCCCTGAACTATAAGATCTTCCTGCACCTGGTAGGTTCCAGTACAGACAGGGATGGGGCATACTTGGCCATGTGTTAGGGACCCTGAAGCTAGTGCATCTTATCCTTCTCTCCCATCCTGGATTCCAAGGTCATTGAAACCAGCCCTTGCTCTGACATCCGTGGGACTGAAGGAGGCCAGAGACCAGAGGCTCACCATCCACATCCTTGAGGTTGTACTTCTCACAGGCCTGGCGAATGGCTTTGTCTAGGATTCCATAGTCAGTGTCCTCCTCCTTGATGGTGGGGAACAGGTCAGATACTATCCCTGAAAAGAGCTTTAGGTCTTCTTGCAGGAACTTGGGTACATTCACATCCTGGATGGCTCGGAGGCAGATCAGCTCCTGCAGCAGGAGCCACGCTTAAGCTTCAGGGTGGCAAGCAGGCTGTCTTTGGCCACCCCAAGCCCTTCTAGAGCCTTCTTTCTAGATGAAACTCACCTCATTCATGTTGGGGTTTTCTCGCTTGAGGTTCCCGGCAGCTGAGATCACAGTCTTCACGGCTCTCATCCCGAAGTCATAGTGATCCTATTGATCCCATATAGGAGGAGAGCCCTGGGTAGGCACTGTGGCTCTGGGGGTTCTCCCTGGGATATTCTGCCTCACACCTGGAAACTGGCCACTCCTGATCACCCAGCTTTTGGCTGTGAAACGTCACTCCCTGGAGACCTTCTGTGACCCCACACCTGCATGCTCAATTCCTCCTTTGGAATTCTCTGGCACCCTCCACTTCAGCATCCCAATGGTCCTCGGGTAGGCTTGGATGATCTATTCTGCCTCCATGCTTGAGGCTGTCTTGGTTATGGCCAAATCCCTGGAGTCCTAGCACAGTGCTAAGGACCAGGAGGAACTCAAGTTGTATTGAAACAGTGAATGTTTCAATACAACTCATCTGCACACTAAACAGGTTGCCTTCCATGGCCCCTGAGCTTTTTCCCCTAACATCTCTCAAGAGCCAACTTTTGGGCCATACCACTGTTTCTTCTTGTTGGTTCTTTTTATAAATTGAGTGAGGGGGATGAGGGAGAATGCTCAAATCAGATTAAGGTACATTGTGTGGATATATGGACATGTCAAAGTGAATACCTATCCCCATATAACTAATTAATTCAAAGAAAAAAACATGGGAGAAAGAAAAAAAAAGCAGGCTACATGGGGATGCTGGCAGTTGGGGGTTCACTGCAGTGGCATCTGTTCTTAATCCTGCCCCAGATCCAAAGACCCATAAGCCTGCCCAGGTTCTCAGCAACTTCAGATCCCAGTGTTGTCTGCTGAGAAACAGGAACGTAACACCTATCTTGAAGAATTGTTGGGAAGAATCAATAAAATAATGCCTGTAAATCAGCTAGCACAGAGCTGAGTACTCAACACAAAGAGAATTTGAAGCAGTTTTAGAGGCTAGAGGCAGACAATACTTCAGATTTTAGAAACTGAAGGGGGCCTTACCTGGGAGCTAAGTTGCTCAGAGGACAACTTGAAGGTTGTTGTGATCTTCTTAGCCAGCACATTAGCTTCATTGAAGCCAAAGGAGTAGAGTGAGATCTCAGCAATCATGGCATAATCCGGGACCATCATGGCCACAGGCCGGAAAAGTGCCTGAGCATATGGAACATGTGCAAATGGTAGGCAGGGCTTACCATACCTCCTATACCTCCCCCCTAGGTACCACCTAACTCTCTGAACTATCTGATCCTTTTTTTTTTTTTTTTTGTCGGTCGTGGGGCTTGAACTCTGGGCCTGGGCGATGTCCCTCAGCTCTTCAGCTCAAGGCGAGGGCTCTACCACTTGAGCTACAGCGCCACTTCCGGTTTTCTGGTGGTTTATTGGAGATAGGAGTCTCACGGTCTCTCCTGCCCGGGCTGGCTTTGAACCGTGATCCTAGATCTCAGCCTCCTGAGTAGCTAGGATTACAGGCGTGAGCCACCAGCGCCGGGCCTTATCTGACTTTCCTCCTCAAATATATAATGCTGGAATTTCCCTCTGTATCATATCTGCCAGCCCTTCCGGTGGCTAGACACCTCTGGCCATGAGAAAGAACCTGCCCCTATGTAATTCCCAGGACATAGCCCCTCTGGGCTCCTGTCTTCCCATTATCCTTACAGGCCCAGCCTAGACTTCTCCCATGCTCTGAGTACAACATGGGGGCATCTCTTGACAGGTAAGGGTGGGCCTTAGGACCTTTGAGCAGGAGTGCTGCCACAGGGAATGACAGTTCCTGATGTCTAGCAGCTGTATATTTTTGAACCAGTGATTTTGCATCTTGGAGCCCAGACTGAAGCTCTGGTGCTTTCTGGCCACTTTGGGCCTGAACTTGCCTTCAGATTGTCAGGCAGCTCCGTGCGGCCAGCATATCCTGGGTTCATGGTGATAAAAACTGCACAGGATGGTACAAGTGGGATCTCAACACCCTCAAACATGAAACGTTCTACCTGTGGCAGGGGTAAGAGGATCAATTCACTTAGGGCATGGGGTGCCCAGTCTCTTTCTTCCTCTAGATGGTTCTCTTCAGCTTCTATTTGTGCCTCTTTTGGCAATAGCTGGTCAGCTGGGACTAGATGCTGATCATGGGTTGGATCCTTTCTCAAGATCCAAACTAAGATCTCAGGTCCCAGTTACCATCCATAGTCTCCCAGGTTGTGAGTTCAGTCCCTCTAAGGTCCCCACTCAGTCTCTGCTTCCCATTCCCTCTATTCTAGTTCCTGATATTCAACTCCCCAGATTTATCCAAACTCAACCCTGACTCCCACCCAGGGCCCTACTTCGGTAGAAGTAGTTACCTGTCAATCTCTAGCTTTTGTCCCCAGGATAAGATCCCTGCTCAACCTTGTCATGACTGGAGGGAGAACCAATGCCTGGGGCTTTCTACAAGAGTTGGAATGTAGGAAGGGATCCCTGTACCTTCCACAGCTTGGTCTGGAAGCTGCCCAGACTACAGTAAGGATTATGGATCTTTCTGATTGTCTAAAAAAAGCCCTTTAGACACAGATCTGCAAGTGGAAGAGGACAGATAGTGCCATACCCCTGAGGAATGAGCAAGGCTGGCCTGGGGAGGCCTGAGTACCTAACTCCCTCCTGCAGTATGCATGCTGCAGGGTAGCAGGGGTAGTGGCATGTCAGTGTATTTGGGGGGCATGCTCACCCGCTGTTGCTGTGCTTTCTGGATGGTGGTGATCTGCTGTGCTACCACTGAGAGCACCTCGATGTCAATGCGATTGAACTCGTCGAAGCAGGCCCAGGCCCCAGCACTAAGTGAGGCCAGAATATTGGGTGGGGCACGTGTGCTTAGAACCCACCTGGCACCTCTCTCTCGGGGTTCCTCTTATTCTGCTTGTGTGGGAAGCTCTGGGTGGTAATTCTCATCAGCTTGGGCACCCTCAGTGTCCACTGGACTGAGTGACTCTTGTCACTCTTATCTTGTCCCCTCCACCATCCTTTGAGGTTCTTGGGCAGTGCTCCCACCTAGCCCGCCCCTAAGGAAGAGCTCAGCCTTCTCCCCCTGCCCTGCACCACCCTCACAACCAGCCTTACCTGGCCAGGCCCTTGAAGAACTTGCCCATGGCCATGAAATCAAGCTGGTCAGAGCAGTTGAACACAACAGTCTGTATGGCCAAGGCCTTTCCCAGGTCTTTAGTGGTCTCTGTTTTCCCTGTGCCAGCTGGGCCAGCTGGGGCACCCCCAAACTTGAGGTGTAGGGCTCCAGTGAGGGTCAGATAGCACCTATGGGAGTGAGGGGAAGTAAGCACAGGACACATATATCCTGATGCTCCTCTTTTTTTTTTAAGGGTTTCCACAGCCCTAGGGAGCCTCTTATAGACAGAGGGCTTTTATTTCTTCCTGTCTTCTCAGTTCCCAGGTATGCCAGGCCTGGTTGCCAGGTCAGCATTGGAATTCATGGCTACCCATTCAGTGTCATACCTGCCTCACTTCACAGCCCTACAGAGCTTTGTTTAGGACTCGCTGGACTGGCCAACTTGTGGCTAATCACTTCTTTCATGGGGTGGGAGATAGGAAAACTGCAATTTGAGGCTATCCCAGGCAAAAAGAAATTCATGAGGCCCTATCCCAAAGAAAAAACTGAAGTAAGGCTGCTTATGCCTGAAATCTAAGCCACACAGGAAACAAAGGTAGGAGGATCATATCCTAAGACTAGCCTGCACAAAAGCATAAGGCCCTATCTTAAAAATAACTTAAAACAGGCTCAACTATGACTCAAGTGGTAGAATACTTGCCTACAAGTCCAAGGCCCAAAGTTCAAAGTCCCGGTACCACCAAAAAGCAAACAAGCAAAAAATATAGATGGGGAGGAAAACCCTCACCTGTCAGTGAGGGGTGTGATCACCAACCGCCCACTGTTGCCTAGGTACTCATAGCCATAGATGAACTCAGCATTCACAGCACGAATGTACAGATCATTGTTTGTCCAGTAGTACCTGGAAGTACAGAAAGAGGGGTTCCTGGCCCCAAGACAACTGGCAACAAGGCAGATTTGTAGTCAGAAGAGTTCTTTGTGGGGACCGAGGGCCCTGAAGCACCCTTGCCCAGACTTGAGGGCAGGTACCAACCTGTTGTCAACCGATTGGTCTACTTCTTCCCTGATGGTCTTGGGATGCCCCCATCTGCCCTCACCTGAGCTGTGAGATCCATTCAAAGTCATTCACGCTGACCACGTTCTCCTTGATCAGCTTTTTCACTACATCCTTGGCATGGACCTCAATAACAATCAGTGCCGAAAGCACTGCCCGCTGCATGCGGGATAGCTTACCCCGTACCAGGGCCACCAGATCACTGAGCTGCAAGAGTAGGAAGATCTCTGTCAGAGATCTAGGATCTAGGCTCCCCCTCTTTTGCACAGAGGATGAGCTTCTCTCTATCCTGGGTGCTTTGATGGTAGGAGAGGGGAGGGGAGGAGAGCAGGAAGTAAATAGAAGAGGCACATGTATAGCATTTGTCACTGGAGTGTGCAGTACCAACTAAACCTTTGGGGCTGGGTGGTAGACTTGGAGAGGAACTGAATGCTGAAGTGTGGTGAAAAACCAGGGCACAGAGCAAGGACAGCCCATGGGATGGCATTGTAGGGACCCAGGCTTCTGCTGGTAGCTATTATGAGACACTAATGTCAGGGGGTTCTAATCTGCTCTTCGGACCCAACCCCAGGCCTCTTGCAGAAAAGAATTGTAGGAAAAATTTCTGGGGAATTGTGGGTATAGGAAGCAGTGACCGTTTTCACTCCCACCTGCTGGGAGAGCTGGGGAAACAGCTTTGTGCTGAGAGTGCTGGATTCTAGAGCTTCAGACACTTCCATGGTCCAATAGGTTTGGCAGCCAGCAATGGTCACTTGGCCTGGCCAGTTGAGAACCCACTTGGTCCTGGGCATCTGGGAAGATAACATGGGAAGGCTGACCCAAACTACTGCCATCTGACCCTTCTTTCCTTGAACATTGTCTGTTCTCTGGCCTTGCAGACACTGGGCTGGAATGCTCATTCTGCCAGTCAGTCCCCCAGAAGCCATTAAGCTTCTTGAAGGTGGCAGAATCAACATTTCCTCCACAGATGCGATGTTGGAATAGGTGAGTCAGAGCCTAGGATAAAGGAGCACACAATCCTGGGTTCAGATCTTGGCTCTGTCTCTGAAAATCACATGTCCTACAGCAGAATACAAACCCTGTATCCCCACTGTGGGTGGATGGTCTGAGAGGAATTCAGATGAGGTTAAGTACTTACATTTTTTTGTTTTCTTTGGTTTCATTTTCGTGCTTATACTGGGGTTTAAACTCAGGACATAGGCATTGTCCCTTAGCTTTTTTTTTGTTCAAGGCTAGTGCTCTACCACTTGAGCTACATTTCTATTTCTTGCTTTTTGGTGGTTAATTAGAGATAACAATATCATAGATACTGCTGCCCAGGAAATCTGGAGCTTTGAACAATGATCTCAGATCTCAGCCTCCTGAGTAACTAGGATTATAGGCATAAACCAGTGGTGCCCAGTTGCTAGTTACTTTTGGAACATTGTAAGTGATTGTGATGATTAGGAACAAGACTCTTTCCAGAATGTGGGTGTGGAAAAGGAAGTTTTGGAGTTGCTGTGTGAGCCCTCAGAGACTTCACAGTAACTGAGAGCATGATCAGCGCTATGGCCCGAGGAGGAGGTGGCAGAGAACAGACAGAGACACTTTGGAGAGAGCCAGATGGAGGGCTAGGTAGGAAGGCCAAGTCGGATGTGGCATGCTCACTGTGGGGTAGGCCAGGATGGCCCTCTCAATGAAGTCTCGCACACTGGCCTTCATGCTGCGTTCTACCTCCAGCAGCCAATCTTCCACATTGCTGGAGGGGTAGATGGAGAAGGAGAGCTTTACCTCCTCACCCTCTGAGGAGTACATGTGTGTGATCTCCAAGTCCTCCTGGAATAGCAGCTGTGGGCAATGGAAGGCAAGAGCTGGTTACCTCCTGTGTGCTAGAAGGCCTGCCCTCAGCCACAGACTGACCTGGCCAGTGCCCCCACCCCCTTTAAGAACAGAGCTTTGCAGTGGTGAGTCTGGAGGGCGCCCAGTGTCTGCTTTGACTAGGCCATCCTGGGCTGTAGGAGGGGAGGATGTGAGTGTATTTCCCCAGCTGTGGCCTGGGCTAAGTGCTTGGGGAAGGAGACTAGGTCTGTCCTGAACAGGCTTATATGGTTCTCCTTTGTGGATAAGAAGAGAAACAAGGAAGATCACAAAGCTAGCCTCACTGGTTTCTCCACCCAGTCAACATCTCAGTGTTCTGGGAGGAATTAGGAACCCAGGGCCTCCATCCCTGAGCAGGGGCCGGGAGAAGTCCCAAATCACAGTGTCATCACGTCCCCTTTAAGAGGACTTGGGGCAAGGGCAGAGATGTCCCCCTGGGGTATGCCCCAGTGCTCATGGCCCTAAGCCCCAAATCCCAGCTACCCACACGGGCAATGTTCTCGAAGCACTTGCGCAGGTGGGGCTGCACGGCTGTGGGGTCCTTTGTCTGGGACAAGATCTCTAGCAGTTCATCATCTGACAGGAAGTAGAATCTGCCAGGGGAGAACAGAAGTGAGAGCCTGGGCCTAGAAGGCTCCCAGGTCCTGGCAGGCACAGTACGGACATCTTGCACTCTAGAGGCAGACGGTGACAGAGTGGGCCTGGCCAGTGGCACCCACCTGGGGAAGGCACTGCGCTTGGTCTCTAGGTACTCGCTTAGTCCCTTCTGCACCAGGTCCAGCAGCTTGTTACAGTCCCGCAGGCTGTCTAACAGCCTCTGATCAGAACACACATTGATCACCTATAGAGCCCAAGTGGGGAGAGAAAGTGTGAATGTGAGTATGGTCCAGCTGGGAGGTTACCAGGTAGGCTCACCAGTGACCATTCACACCAGCCAGAAACTGTCAGTGGGTCCTGAGAAAGAAGGGGCAGGAAAATTGTCCCTGAGCCAGGGACTGCCTCTATGCGTCTATCAGTACTGCCAACTCCATGGGTGTGTGTGTGTGTGTGTGTGTGTGTGTGTGTGTGTGTGTGTGTAATCTATGGTGAAAAACAATGAGAGTGAAAAAAGGCTAAGGAGTCTGTTTCTGTGGCAGGACTTTTCAGGGATTCCAAGATAATAATGTAGACTTTGGCTCTCCAAGAGTAAAACTATCAACTGTTGTACTGCACAGCATATTTGGGACTGATGAGCCACTCCCAAGAGCACAGGTCACAACCAAAGTCTTAAAGTTGTCCTCAAGTCCTTGTTTAAGGAGGAAAAAGACAAGGAGGCTCCTAACAACATGACCAGAGCCCTTGGGACCCATCTCCCCTCGCAGCTTCATGGAACTTGCCTCTCGGTTCTCATAAGCATTCTTCATGATCTTCCTCCAGATTCGTTCCATGGTTTGGTAACGCTTGCTCTCCACAGGCAGCTGCCGGGTGATGTCCTCAGATCTGAAGATGGGCTCCAGGTACAGCCAGGACCGCTGGCAGTTCAGCCACTCCTCCAAAACCTCCTAGGATGGGTAGGACAGGAATGGACTGTCCAGCCTAAGGCCCAATATGGATTGAACTCAGAGCTGACTAAGCAGGCCTCTACCACCTGAGCCATGCCTCTATCCCAAACTTGTGGGGTTTTGTTTTGTAGTTTTGATCATACTGGGATTTGAACTCAAGGTCTCATGCTTGCTAGGCTCTGTACGTGTTCTAAAGTTGAGCTATACTTTCAGCTAAGGAAAGCTTCTAGATGGTGCTGACAATATGGAACTTTGTTCCCCATTGGGAACAGAATGGTGTAGGGATGTCTGTCCTCTAGGGAAATTCCACGACCCCATAGGATATGGAAGCCTCCAAAAAACCAGGGCTGCTACATTTCCCTGTGAGAGGCCATGCCCAAACCAGCACACCTTGGAGTTGACTGAGGAAAGTTACCCAGTTTATGGGAAACCAAGTCAATCACCTCTCCTGGGAGGATTCTTGGGTCTATGACTCCAAATTCTTTGAGGCTCATTAGAACTTGAGTTTGAGGTCCCTGAATACTCTCTGCAACATTAGTATTAAATGAACCACTTCCTCTTTGTGCCTCCCAATTCCCCACTCAGACTCTCTTATCTTTTCTCATTAGTGCAGATTCATTCATTTATTCATTTCTTCCTCATGGGATTGGGGCCAGGCCTAGACAGGCACCAGGAAGAACGTGCATGGCTCTTACCCTTGAGGAGTCCACATTCCATCAAAGGGCCCATTCTACCCCTGATCACCAATGGCCTAGCATGGTGCCCTTAGTATTGGTACTGGGCTTGTGCTGAGTGTTCAAAGAGATGGGAGGTGGGGCTAAAATTTCAGGTGCAGAAGGCAGCATGGGAAAAGGAGGGAAGTCCAGGGACAATGCTGATCAGTACAGGCATCTCTAGCTGGCCCAGGGTGCATATAGATAAGCCCTGCTCACACAGCTTCTAGCCTTCACTTGAGATCTCTGAACAGCTCTAGGGAAGGCCCTGAGGAAGGGACTATAAAGACATACCTCCAGGCACTGGTGTTGTAATCCCTTTCCTGGGCAGGCCCGAATAAGATAAGGACAAAGGGCTCAGTAGAGGGTGGGAAAGGTTTTGAGGAGGCTGGGGCCCATTCAGTCTATCCAAACAAGTTCCAATACTGAAGGCCTTTAGGAGGTCTACTGGCAATCACATTTTTTAGACTTATCCCTAACTGCTTCTTTTACTAGCTAACTCATAGATGACCAGCACCATCCATTCCAGTCATCTTATGAACAGAGTGCTTCAGAGATCCAAGAGCTACCTGAGAATGGGAAGGCATTCTACAGCTCTGAGCCCACCACTTAAAAGACCAAGATCCTTTAGGATGGGTGGAGGGAATGAAAGGACTAGAAGGGGAAGGCTCACCTGGGTCAGCTTCAGTTTGGTCTCCCAGGAGTTGATGCGTTGCTCAAAGGGCTTCTTGTAGGGTGAGAAGGACATGCTCTGGGTCATAACAATATGGTCATCAAGCAGCTGTGAGGCCTCATCTGGACTCTTGAGGATATAGGTTTCTGTCTCCTTGTAGGGCAGCACATTGAACAGAACGGTTGACCACTCTTTCTCCATCTTGTCTAGTGCCTGAGGTGGGAGATAGGTATCAAGACTAGGTCTTAAGAAATAGGCACATGTTGTGTTATCTGACCAGCAATGAGCAGGGAAAAAATAAATCTTGCCTGGCCATGACCTTCACGTGGGCCACTATGGTAAATATTCTTAGCAAGTGTGGTCAACAAGTCCCCCATGGACCCCTGTCTCAATTTAGGACTGACTCATTCTATGTATGTAAGCTTGTTGTACACACATGTTGGGCTGTAACTAAGGTGCTAGAGGAATGTGGATGTGTCACCTTGGCCCCTGCAGAACCTTCCTAGGCTTTAATACACTCACCTGCTTTTTTATTTATTTACCTATCTACTTATTTATCAGTGCTGGGAATTAAACCCAAGAACCTCACACATTGCAGGCAAGTCCTCTGAACAATACTACTGGTCTCTGTACTCATCTGTTAAATGAGGATAACGCTATCAGATCTTTCCTAGAGTTCTGAGAGGAGTAACTGAGGACAAATGGCAATGAAACCAAGCACTTTATATACATTATTAACGCACTTAGTAGAATGTCTCTCCCCCTGGACACGATGACCTCAGAGATGGAGCCAGTACTGTTATCTTCCCAAGTGGCTATCATTTGCAAGGGTTAGTGGCCAAGTTGTCCAGCAGTGCCTGGGTGGGGTGGAATAGGTCTGCAGATGGCTACCCACCTGCTCAATGGCATATTCCTTGCCAGCCACCTCAGCCACCTTGCTGATGCTCTCGATATGGTCCTGCAGGTTCATCTCAAGGCAGCGGGAAAAAGTCAAGTTGGCCTTGGGCCGGACATTGATATTGATCTGGTTGGATAGTACCTCCCAGTGCCGGTTCCTCATGCCAGGGTTGCGTAGGCCCTGGATCAGTGGGATATATGGCTTGAACTCCTCAATGCGGGCTCGAATGTCTAAGGCCACATCCTGGCAAGCTGCCGAGTAGAGTAGGTAGATATGAGAAGAGGCCAGCATAGGGAGGAAAGGAGGGAATAGGTTAGCTTGGCCATCTACCTTGGATGTCCCTGAACTGCTTCACGCATTTGTGCATGGTTTTGAAGGACTCGATAACGTTCTTTTCCAGCTGCTCTGCATCAATGGCTGACAAGGGGTCATTCATCCAGCTCTCAGACCAGCGCAGCCAATCAGAGGCTGTGGTCCAGAGGTCCAGGTAGGGCTGGAAATCCTTCACCATTTTTGAGAGCTTGTCATACTGCAGAGCAGAAGGCAAGGCTGGGCTTTCTTGGGACCCTCTCTGAGCTCTCTCCCTGCTACTCCTACTTGGGTCAGATCCTCACATCCTTGATCTGGGCCATTTTCCTTGCTCCTTTCCCCTGGACCCAGGCATGACCTCCCTCTTCCTGCCTCATTTAGGCTCTAGGTTCTGAACTTTTCAGTAAGGCCTAGGCTGACCCTCACAGGCCTGTTAACTGGTTCTATCGGTCTTCCTGTGGATTCCAGGTAGGGTATCTCTACTCTGCAGCCCACTCAGTCTTGGTCCTGACAAGCCAGACAGCCCCCTGGCTCAGCAGTTGGGCTCTGATGTGGCTGCAGACCCAAGCTGCTTCCTCAAGCCCTGGGTAATTGGAGAGCAAGGGGCCCATGGGAGGCCTACATTGGTGATGGGAAGGCCAAAGATGCGCTCGCGGTTGTTGTAGAGTGTTGCCAGCTGCTGGCAATCCTTCAGTTGTTTCTTGACTCGCCGAACCTCATTGGCAATCTCATGTGCTCGTGTAATGTCCACATGGGTAGAGAAGCCAGCTACCACCAGCTGTAAGCCAAAGGGTACAGATATCCCTCAGTCCCACTGTGCCCATGCATTCTCATTTACATCCAGGGAACTCAAGTCGATGTTCACAGGGCATCAGCTTCTCCCACCTGTGAGGGGACTTTGTTTTGAAGTGAGCAGGTTGCTAGCTCATCATAAGCAGGCTGATCATCCCAGGGTGACATGGCAAGGTTGAGGGAGACTCAGTGCCATGAACACTGTGCCCATTGCTCACCAGGACACCAAGGATACAACAGAAGAGTTAGGGTCTTCTAATATATTTTTTTTAGGGCTTGCTGCCTTTCTCTTTGGCCTTTCTGTTCATTCTTTCAGCCATTTATTCAGTCATCCATCCACACATTGATATAGGACCACCTAAATGCAGGATTCAAGGCCAGGCATGTGTGTATGGTGGGGAACAGGTTCTGGCTCAAAGCCCCCAGCCAAGCCCCACCTGCAGTGCTTCCAGCTTTTCCTGGAAGTTGTTTTGATCCATGATCTGGATTTTGTGGAATTTTTCCTCCTCCTCCATGTGCTGTTGCCGCACTGTCTCTAACTGCCCAAGGATCTTACCAGGCCAGTTGCTGGCAGCCCATCTAGCAGGAATGAGGGTTAGAATCAGAAGAAATGCCACAGTTGGAATGATGGGAGTAGCATAGCCAGACAGGGACCATTCTACCCCCATTCTACCAGGCACCTGGGACTAGCACCTAGGCAGCAGAAGTATGAAGGGGACAGGGAAAGCTGGGTAGCTGACATTAGCTGGGACTGAGCAAATGGGAAGTCCAAGTATCCACTGCCACTATCCCTGAAGCAACTTTTGCTCTGATCTCTGGGAGCCACAGTACCCAGTGTGCCCAATGCAAAGACAGGGGCAATGAGTGGAATGACACAAAGTTTATTCTTGTGCCTCATCTCAGATGGGTAAAAGCAACAGTCGCTAGCTTGCAATATCCATGGTGACCAACAAGAAGCACAAGACTGGCTTCCTTCATCGGACCAACCCTGTCTTCCTGGCCAGGGTATTTCAGCTGGCCCAGGATTCCAACCCTGGGGAGGTTCTTCTGAGCACTAGAATGCCTGTTAGGCTGGTGTCTTGGGTTTTCAAGTAAGGACTTCATAGTCTTGAAGTCCCCCTCATCTGTGATGCAGGGTAGGATGAAGGTTTTCTTGTGCTTCAGGGACTGCCCACCAGATTAGCTTTTCCCTCACTATTCCTAAATCTAAGTGCGTGCATGCGTGTGTGTGTGAGTGTGTGTGTGTGTGTGTGTGTGTGTGTGTGTGTGTGTGTGTGTGTGTGAAGCCACTGATAGGAAAGGAAGCAGTTGGCTCCCTAGGCTAAGAGGATTTTACTCAAAATGATTTAAAAAAAAAAATACTGGCCCCTGTCAGGAGCCATGACATCTAGCATCTTGGCAGTGCATTTGTGGTGATTACATAGCCTGTGGTTGATAGGACATTTGACAGCCACTTTGGCTTAGCACTTTTCCTCTCACTTCCTACAGACTAACCCCTGCCCAGTTTGAGGGCCAGTACTTTTACTTACTTGTCATTGAAGTCTTCAGTACTGAGGTTGTAAAAAAACTCATCCATGACCTGGTAGTTATCCATAACTTTCACGATCCGCTCCTATATGGGCAGGAGGTATTGAGAGCTGGGCTAGAGGAGGGGTTATAGGGTCCAGGCTCTCCTAAGGTGCAGGGTACTAGAAAAGGAATTGTTGTTTTTTCCAGAATGCACAAGTTTCGGGCAGGGAAGAATGTATGGAGTATATAGGCTCAGGGCTCCAAGGCCATGACCAGCGCATTTCCGGTTTCCATTCTCTTGACCCATGCTTTCAACCCTCCTGACCAACCAGAAGTCTGCAGTACCCAACCAGAAGTCCTCAAACTCCATCTGTCCTTTGGGTATCTACCTTACCTCCACATGCTTCCACACCCCTAGATCCCCATGTATCACCTGACTTCTAGGCTCCTAGACATTTCCCTACCTCCAGCACCCTTGAACCTGCCTCACCTCCAGCATTCCAAGCTTCTCAGGGATGCCCTTCATCCAGTCCCGCAGCTCAGCCAGCTCCTCAATGCTGTTGGGCTTCTCGTAAATCTTGCGGCTGATGCTTCGAAATGACTCACAGATCTATCAGTGGAAAGAATGTTCTAGAGAGGGCTGTGAGCCACCCTCCCACCCCCCTCCCACTTTCCTTCCTTTGGGCCTGTTTCTTCTTCAAGGTCCTCAGTGCCTTTCAAGAGGTAACTAACAGTACTACCCTGACACAATTAAAAGGGCTTTCCAAGAGATGCATCCTGAGTTGCTGAGGTGTCTCATGGGACCTTTGACAACAACAAATGCATGAGGTTAGTGGCATCTAGGGCTTTCTACCCTCCCAGCCTCCTCTGGCCCCATTAATGCACTCAGGACTTCTGAAGCCAGCACTTAAACACTGTTGGATTTCTAAATCAGTCTTATCTTGGGGCTTTGTGAGGGCTTCTCAGGATCCTAAGGAAAGAGGCAGTCACTTCCTAATGGGAAGTCATATAAGAACCAAGGCAGGGTGACTTCCAGTTTTTTCCATTGGTCTGGGTATCTGCAGGAATCCTCGATTTTGACTTGGGAATATCCCACAAGTGGATATGTACCATGTGTGCAAAAGTGATTTGATGTAGCTGTGGTCACTGGGGCCAGATGTGTGAGAGCTTACACTTTCCACTTCACTGTGCAGGTTCTTGGCCAGGATGTCCAGCATAGAAGTGGCCAGGGATTTGCGCTTCTTAGAGAGGCTCTGCTTGACGTTGTCGATGTTGATATAGAAGGGCCCAATGACAATGCTGCTGGGCAGTGAGCTGTCCAAGATTTCCTTCTCTTTTAAGTGGGTGAGCACCACTTCCCGCACTTCCTCAGCTGTGGGGGCACGTGTCTGGTAGTCCCTGAGGATGGTGCACACACAAGAAGTGGGGTGGGTGGGGATGCACACATACAGCTACACTCAGACTTGCACACACACACACACACACACACATGTGTGTACATACTTAAGAAAGACAGACACATCATTGTTGCTTAGCTCCAGGTACTTTCTATACTCCTTGGCATAGGCCTGCAGTGGGATCATGGCCTTGCGTATGGCATTGGCAATGACGGCCCGCAGTTCCTCCACCAATGGCTCATGAAGCCCCACAGACTCCAGCAGGGGATCGCCACTGATGAAGATGTCCTCCATTACAAGCTATGAAGGAAGAGATGGGGAGGGTAGAGCTGGTGGTAAGGATATCCTTCAAGGCAAGCAAAGGAGTATGGTCAAAGCCTGGGGTGGATGGCAGTATAACCAAGCCGTATAGCCAGAATGGTGTAGAAGTGGGAGAAGGTCTGGCAATTGTGTGTTATAGAAAGGGCCATAGATAAATGCAAGGCTGAAAGTTACTGTGGAACCCACTGAGGGACAATGTTCTTTGCCTGACCTGTCTCTCTTCACAGTGCTAAGGAAAGCAGTAGAGGGGCAATCATGTCACTGATGGATATGATGGACCAGCAAGAGGTCATTGGTATTGGTGTTGTGGAGGCTCTTGGGCCTGGAGAGTGAATTGTGTTTAGTGGAATATATACATACATATATATGGCATGACCAGTGGATACTAGTTATGTGTGGGAATTGGCCTATGTCTGCTTTTGAGGTGAATGGAGTGGCAAGAGCTGTGTGGGATCAAGGGGACAGAATGTGGGCCAGATATACATAGCTGTGATAGATTAGTCTAGCAAGTTCAGGGTTAAACTGCTGCTTAACACTTAGCAGTTCTGTGATCTAAGCTAACAGTTAAACTTTTCCAAGTTACAGAGAGAGTGTTAATAGTTTTCAATTCAGTTTATGGGGATGATTAAAGGATATATATGAGAATTACAGGGTTGAGGATACAGCCTGCCAAGTGGGAAGAGGCCATGATACAGTTTAATGGCTTTGAGGTTTGTGGCAGTTTCCCTAAGGCTTCAGAGCCAAAATCCACTGGCAGCCACTTGGGCCAGGCCAGCAGATGCCTTGACCCCACTCAAGCTATATACCTTCTCCAGCTGGGGTACTGCATGTGTGGCCAGGATGCCCTTGTTGAAGAGGCCGATCAGAGATGTCTCAAACTGCTCCAGAGGTGTGCTGTAGTGCACCCCTGAGTTGTCCAGCACCAGGTCCACGATGAACAGGGGGTTTTTCCGGGGCCTGAGGAGCAAGAGCTGGGCTGAATATGGGTGGGACCTGAAGAGGACCCTCTGTCCTTCCTGTCAGCACTGTAGCCCTTAATATTCTCCATGCATGTTTACTTCCTGTTTCTTCCCGGAAACTTCCAAGTTACCAGAGAGGAAGACCCAGACCAGCCAAACAAACTCCTTTTCTCCTTCTTTGTTCCCAGAGATCCCTAAGCACCACAGAAAAGGAGACACTCACCCCATCCTGAAGTCATCAGGCAGGTTGGCTAGACCCTAGGTACTTGTAACTTCACTCTTTCCCTGGAAGCCCAACCTCCTTGGCTTCAGATGTCCACTATTCCTCTCAGACTCCAGCCTGAAACCTATTGATGGCTTCTGGCTCGATCAGAACACACCAGCCAGCAGATCCCTGAAGCCTTTCCTGATTTGGGCTGGTCCCTCTGTCCTTTTCTCCTTCTTCCTGAACAGTCCTCGTCTTGCTACCTGTGCTTCCTTAGCTGCTTTAAATGCTCCTCCCTCCCAACACCTGGTGTCTCCACTGGTTGGGCCCTCTACCTACTGGCCTGCATGTGACTGTTTTTTCTCATGTGCCGGGTGTTGGCTCAGCTACTCCTCCTCTCTGACCCTCTGCCAAGGGTCCATACTGAGTGAAAATTTGCATTCCCTAGCAAAATCAGCAACTGTCTAGTCTCCTAATGAGAATGGAAACTATATACCTGGTTCCTCTAGAATCATGTCTACTTCATAGAAAGTGCTTAAAGAATATTTCTCAGTTGAGTAACTCAAAGACGACAGTGAATGGGGATCACGAGAACACAAGTGGGAGCTGGTGGGACACTGTCAGCAGCTTATGTACAGCCAGGTTCTCCTGGTAGTCAAGGACCTACTGTATCAAATTTAGCCATTAGGGCCTGCCGGATAAGGAGCAGCTGACCCTGTCTAGCAGGGCCCACCTGTAGGGGCTGTTTATGAAGTCTTCACCCCAGACCATGTCATCGGGGCAATCGAGTACGTTGTAGCAGGTATCACTGATGAACTGTGAGAAGCTGGTCAGTGAGTCCTGCACCAAGAAGCGTAGCGTGTCCTGAAGCATGTACTTGATCAGCTCCATCAGCTTGCGCAGCTTTGACATGAGGTACACCTCCCAGTTGGTCTCGTACAGGTTGTACCAGCCTTTGCTCATGTCACGCAGGCTGCTGCGCATGGCTACTTTTAGGGTGCTGATCCAGCTGTCCTTGAGGAACATCTGTACCTGGAGTGGGCCACAGGGGTCATCACAAAGCCACCTGAGTTTTTCCCAGCCATAACTGATACACTTGAGACTCTCTACATGAGGGTACTGAGGTGGTTCAGGACTCATCTGACTGGAGGGAGCTCTCTTACCCAGCTTACTGCCAAGCCCCCCACTAACACCCTCATGTGACCTCCCTCTGCCAAGACTTAGAGCTGCTTTCAGGGCTTCGTGGTGCAGAAGCAGGGCTTCTCTTCCAGCTTTGGGATAAAGACAGAGATGAGAAAGAAGCAGAAGTATGACAGGATGAGACTGAGCAGTGAGGCATAGGAATGAAAAACAGAGAATGGACAGAAGAGGCTGCCTTCCATCTCTTTTGCACCCTGACCCTCAGGTTGATACTGCTCAGGGGTGGGGTTCCTGCTCCCTTTGCTAGAACAAGGGCAACTAGGGCTGGGATAGAGTAGAGTAACTGGGAAGGGAGCCTACCTTGCTTTCCTTTGCCCTGCTAGATGAACCAGACCCTTGGTTTCACTCCAAGCTCTAAAAAGGCCTATGAAAGAAGCTAGAGCTCAGTCTTTAGTGGCCAGCCAACCCTTTTGAGAAGGCCCTGGCCTATGCCTGCTGGTTCCAAGGGCCTGTATATACTACTCTTCATGCTCTGATGCCCAAGTACCTGGGAGAAGGTCTGTGACTCGATTTGCTCAAACTCCTCCAGGCGGCTGGACTTGGAGAGGCTTGAATGGAACAGTGACATGCCAGTCACCTTGTTGCACTCAGCCCGCACCTTGCTCAGGGCTATAATGACTTCTGGCCGTGTAAGCAAGGACACAAAGGTGAAGTCCTCCTTCTGTTCCCGGAAAGGGTACTTGGGGAAACTGACCAATCCTACAGGGGTGGAAACCAAGAGCCCGTGTCAGGTAAGCCTGGGATACACCAGGAGTCAGGATGTGTCTACAGGTTGTTTGGGACTCCTGCTTCCTTGCCAGAAGAGGCAATCTCATTCCTAGACCTCCTCTTTCCTCATAGCATGCCAAAGTGGCCCTAAGCCATTGTGAACTGCCTGCTCCGGAATTTCCTCCAGGGCTCACTGGTTGAAGGCCACTTTTAGAAGTAGGTGGTAGCTGTAGACTCTCAGTTTCTCTTGCTGGTGCTATGCATGTGCACCCTAAAGCCTATCTGACACCTGCCCATGGACACCCAAGGAAGGAAGATGTGAACAGCAGGACCCCTCTGAACATTTTCTGTCTACACACCAGCCTGAATCCTAGGCACATCATACACAGGAAACAAGGTTAGTCTAAACTAGGGCAGTTGGGGATCCTGGGTCCTGCCCGAGACTTGGTCTGCCATGTGTGCATGTGGCTGCAGTGATGCCATCTATACTCTTGCTATGGGAGGAAAGAAAGGGTATATGTCCTTGAAGCCTCTGTCATCTACTTCCAACCACTGATTCCCTGTTACGCATTTACCTGTGGCTTCCACATTACTCAGACTTGACTTTCCCTCCTTTCCTCCCTCACTCCCTCCCTCCTTACCTTCCTTCCCTCCTTCCTTCCTTCCTTCCCTCCTTTCCTTCCTCCTTCCTCCTTTCTCCTTCCTTCCCTTCCTTCCCTCCTTCCTTCC